ATCGAAAAGAAGCGAGGCGAGGAGCTTAACCATATGAAAAAGGCAAATGAGAATCAATGTTGGTGGATGGCTCGCAAGAACGATATGAGCTTGACACAACTTCAACAACTGAAGGCCTCTCTCGATGAACTAAAGAAGAATGTTGCTAAGCAAGCTGAGAAGATTGTGATTCATACCCAAAATAATCATCATCCTCATCCTCATCCTCATCATCATCATCCTAACCATCCTTTTTTTCTGGGAAGTTCTTCCGGTGGAGTAGGTCTTCCTTTTGAGACAAAGCCTGCTGGATTCAGTTCTAGCATTGTTCCATTCAACAATCCGAACATGATACCTCCACAGTATCATGGATTTGGCCAAGGATTCTTCTAAGAAAACTTTTGTTATTTATTTAAAATGAATTTTTAATTTTTCTGGCACAGTAAATGCCTCAGTATTAGTCTTTATATTATGTTGGGTTTTAGGATTTTAGCTTCTAACGAGTAAGGGTTTGTTCTAGAAAATAAGAGGCATCTTATTTTATGTTATTTGTTTAAGTATTTTGTAATCGTTCAGTGATACTGCATCTAGTTCTTAATATAAGTTTTTTTCCTTAAAACCATTTGCGCTTGATTATATATATATATAGATGTATATATCTCAAACATTCTACTACGCTTTTTTTTTTGTCATGCCTTGTGACACTATCAACTGCTACCTATATAACATATCGTAATATATATTATTTTAATATATAAACAATTATTATCAAAATATTTACTCATTTATATTCACCATACAAAATATAGAACACATATATACAAGAGTTTAGCCTCTTTTATATATATATATGTGTGTGTGTGTATATATATATATAGTGACCTATTATCTCATATTTATTGTACACCATACCTCGAGAGATTGAGGAAAGTTTAGAGCTTGAGGTAAGCATACTAGAATTTTTCAATATCAAAAGCTTTCAGGTTAGAGATAGATATTAGATTACACAAGCATGAGTTTTTGTTCTTCGGGTAAATTTATGGAATAATTAGCATGCACAAGAATTAAATTACGTAAAAATTATAATCCAGTATTTTCTTATGTACAATTTAAACGTATGTATGATACTAAATGACTGTATGAATCCAAATAAAAATAGAACATATAGGTTGTCGAGAAGGTAAGTAGTAGATGTATATATAGATCAACTTTAAAAGTATAATATAGTTAATTTATTCTTATTTAACAAAAAATTTGTAAGAACGACATGATAGGGAAAATAAAAATAAATTATTCATTAAAAAGATGATGCATGTACAAAAGTGCCGTTGTATTGAAATGTATATACGTATTTAATCACAAAGCTTGCGATTACACTCCTATATTGAATTTGGTGCTATTTTGGAATCACAAATCTGCTCAGCATATTATTCTCTTTCTTAATTTTTTTCTTATTTCTATTTTCTATATTCTTACACTGGATCTAGAACTCGTGTATGTCTACAATTTATATCTTTTTTCACATGAAGACATCCTTCTTTGCTCTAAGTTCGGTGTAGGTATCAAATGTTGATCATATTGTAGCTATTATGTGAAGACAGCTACTGAATTTAGAATAAAAAATTTGCTGCCAATGCTTTTGAAATGCAGGGGACACTGCATATGGATTGGATAGATTGGTTATATTGTTAGCAGGAGCTAGTTCCATAGAAATGTCATAGCTTTCTTGAAGACAACTATCGTGCAGTGTGCTCTCACCCGAGCACCATCTGAAGTCGATCCACAGCAGCTAAAAGATCTTTCAATCTAAAACCAATAATCTCTTCTGTTTTAAGTCTGAACATATTTCTAAACCAGAGTTTCAAACATATATTTATACGGGAGAATTTGACTCTGCTTCCCGGTTCATGTGATCCATTCAATTTTGATTAACGAGGGTCTTATTTTTGTATACTTATCGTACTATTTTTTAAAAAACTCGTAACAAAGAATGAAATTTTTTCACTAAGGAGAACATATTTCTTACCAGATGCTTAATCAATGCATATAAGTGTGATATTGAGTCTTAAAATTTTATTTCAAAAGATTTACTGTTAAGATATTTTCAGACTAATTTTGTACACTGAAACTAAATTGCTTTCAATTTTGAGAGCAAAATTAATCTTGAGAGCAACAAAGGAGGCCGATAAAGAAAAACATGCTAATAGATTTAAGATTAAATAGAAGAAAAAAAAAGAAAGAGAAATAGGAAGGGGCTGCTGAATGATGCGTTAACATGGCAATACTATTATGATAGTTTACATTTTGAAGCCTTATGAAACACAAACAGATATGCATGAAGAACATATTGCGTTCAAGGACAAAAATAGAACAAGAAGGCTGGAATATAAAAAATATATAGACACGTTGTTTATATCAATGAGATTATGTCAAATTCAATAATAATGATACGGGAGAATTTAACTTCTCTCTTGTGTTATACCCAGTGCATGACATATTCATTATCAGATAAGATCATCTTTCTGACCATGATAAAATCGAGCCTTCTGAGTTACTTGAGAACAACTAAATGATATGTTAATACGGGAAATGCATAGAAGGGAAAAACTCTTGAACTATTTCACTTTAGTTAATTTGTGCATGATGTAAGAGCATTAGGTTATATAAATGTTCATAAACTTTCTATTTTGTGTTCGAAGATCGTGGCTATTATGATCATTTCAATGCCATTAATAAATTTCTTCTTTGAGATTGAACCAAACTTGATGCAATAATTTATTCATGAATGCATCTAATAATAAAAATAAAAAAAAATACTGAAATAAATAAATAAAAAACAAATAGATAGATCATATCGACGAGACTATCAAATTTATTCAGAGTAAAAACATTTTTAACTTCCCCCTAGCGTTTCACCAAATGAACGACATATTAGTTGTTGGATAAGATCACCTTACTCACCATGATAAAACTTAACTTGTTGATTTACATAAAACAATTACATGAATTGTTAGTAAGTGAAATGCATGAAAAAGAATAACTATTGAACGTTAGTTTGTTTTAGTCAATATTAGAGAATTAGATTTTATACGCTTACGTATACTTTTCATTTTTGTATTTGTCATGATCATTAATGCGCCAAGGATGAATTTCTTCCTCAGTTTAAATCAAGTAGTAATAATTTGTTCAAAAATGCACCAAGTGATAGAAGCTAGATAAGAAGACTGGAACATAAAAAAAATATAAACATATAAACTATTTGGATAAAATTATATTAAAATTCACTAATAATTAAAGAAATTTAACTTATCTCTAGCATTATACTAAATGAATGATATACTAATAGTTGAATAAGATCATCTTGACGACCGTGATGAGAACAAATTTTTTTATTTAGTAGAAAATAATTAAATGAACTATGAATAAGGAAAATACATTAAAGGGAATTTAGGTTCAACATGCTTGTGTAAACTTTCTATTTTTATATTCCAAT